AAAAGGTGAATAATATCTCTATTTATAGAGTTGACATATCACTCTAAAGGTCATCGTGATAAATGTCAATTAGTAGATACATAGTTATCCAAATGGTTCTTATAACCTTAGAAACATGTATAGATGAATACAATTAAGTCTTAACTATATCTAAAGGACAATCCACACAATCCAATGGATTTATAACACTCCTCCTTGGATGTTTATAGATAATGTGTCTCGTTGAAACCTTACTAAAAAAAACCCAGAGGGAAAAAATTCCAGTGAAGGAAAAAGAGTACACATATCTTTTGATACACATTATTTGTTGCCTCATTAAAAAAACATGGCAGGAAAACCCAGTGGGATAAAACCTCGGTCAAGAAAAAAAGAATGCAACGCGTATTATACTCCCTCTGATTAAAACATCACTTAATTTCTTGCAATAATGTGTCCAATCTTCGTATATTGTGGTTGGTATATTCTTTTTCAAAGAAAAACCATACATTTTCTGAATATAGTATGTTATTTATCTCAACCAGACGCGCTCTCGACTTGCTTTGTGGAGGACTTTTATTTCTTCATAGCAACATTTGTTTCATTGCTCGCTAGGATATTATTGTGCCTCCACATGCAAACAAATAGCGTGTTTGAGACCGTGTTTTATGCGGATCAAATAAATATTCTACATCTGCGTAACCAACCAACTCTTACTTGAATTCTTCGGAATATAATAAAATGAACTCATGTCTATGGTCCTTCAATGATATTCAAGTATATACATAACACCATTTTAATGTCCTTTTGTTAGGGAAGAACCAAATCTTGCTAGTAAATTTACCGCAAAACAGATATCCGGTCGAGTATTTTTAGCAACATGCAATAGTACTCTGATTGCACTAAGATATAAAGTTTCCTCTCCAAGAAGCTCTTCATACTTCTCTTGAGATAAAAATGAATCATCATTTATTTCAAACGATCTCATAATCATTGGGGTACTCAATGAATGTGATTTATCCATATAAAACTGCATCAAAACTTTTTTGTGTATGTGCACTGTTAGACAAATATTTTATTTGTTGAATTATCAATCTGTAGGCCAAGACAAAATTTTGTCTTACCAAGACCTTTTCATAAAAATACAAGGACAATTAGGGTCATTGTTTTTGTACCCTTTTCTTCCTTGACTAGTTCAATCCATATAAGGATTCTTAAAGCTTTATTAAAAAGTTTCCTTCAAACATTTATATGCTTCAGACACCTCAATTGCTTCAAGGATTTTCATATAACCTTCATTATATAGCTAAACATGACAATTATTCATTATATACATTCAAGTTTTTCATATGTTGTCAGATAAATAAAAACCTCATTGCATCCACCATAGGCGAAAACATCTCCAATAATGTCAGAATTTTTGCGACAAACATTTATGCCCCAAGGCACAAGTCATACTTGATATCTTACGGTTATACTATCGCATAATAATTTATTTGTACCCCACTGACATTATACCTTGATTCATGGACTATCAGTCCAAAATGTCACTTTTCTAAGTGAAACAAAATATACTTGAATTATTCATTTTTCCTTGACCAATCATTTATCTGTCCACACTCTATGACATATTTGAATTCAAGATCCTCGTTACAATTTATATCATTGAGCACTACCTCATATCAAATATACCGTCCACAATTATTTAATACGATTCCCACAAGATGTAACTTATCGAGATCTCTTCATTTTTCAGGTACCTGAACTTTTTTCAAGGTTTTATGAAGCGTTATGTCATGATGATATCTTATAGCACTTGCCTCATTATTATGACCATATTGATCATTTTCTCCTCTCCTTCTTCATTGAATTTTATATTTGGATCTAATTGATCTATTACGCTTCCGGCGTATCATAAACTCCGTCATACAAGGACTTCACGTTGGAGCATTTACAGCTGAATTATATCATAGAGTCGGTATATTCATTTGGCAATTGATTTACAACATTATGAAAATGAATTATCCCTTGAACATTACGTGCAAATATTTATTTAACGAGGACCTAGATAATTCATAATTAGACCCACACATAATTTTCAATTGTCAATCACCTTTTTCCTTAATGTTAGAAAATCTAACATCGATCCCAACCTTATTTGAAATTCATCTTTTTCGGTGGTGAAGCAATTTAAATCATAGTCGCACATTCAGTATTTTACATGAAAATGAAAATTATATGGTTCTGGCCCTGAACCAATTTTAATGGGAAAACCTTATTGGCTTGATGTATACATGTGTTGGTACATGTTAAATAAATTTATCTCATACCAAATCTTGTTTGAAAGTTTTGCTCCCATACACATGATTTATCTATAATTAGAGGCAAACAATATCTGCTAAACCAACTAGCATTATTAGTGTAATTTCGTAGTCGAAATTGTGCTCTTAATTTAACAATTGAGCAACAACCTTACAAACACCAATTTGTAAGTTAACACCAAAGCACATGTAATCATCGCATAGATCTATCATATAGTTGCAAATGATCCACATGGCAGGTGAATGGACCCATATTCACCTTTTTTATATGTTCCAAGAACTTCAAGGGATTACAATCCCAACCTTAGCTGGTACAATAATCATTTTATAATGAGAACAAGCATCACAAAAGAATTATTGAAGAATCTTTTATTTCTTCATCATATAATCCACATGAATTCTCAATTACATTTGCATCACATTTAAATCAGAATGGTCAACCGGTCATGCCAACTAATTTTTATTTTAGTACACTTACAGTTTACTGTGATTTCATCAGCATGTCCATGTTTGTGTGCAACAAACAAAAGGAAACAATGAGTAACCTTTTACATAGATATTTATAACCCCTTTTGATTGTAGTGATTTATAGTCTCAATATTTATTTTCAATTCATCCAAAACTTAAAAAGTTTCTTTTGAGATATACTACAACCCTATTATTATTCCTCTAATAATAATACAACTCGTTAGAGCTTGCTATTAATTTTGTGTACTATCACATATTGCATGACATCATCCCTATGGTGAGCATCTCCTTCAAGGATGAAATCATATGATTATTTCATGGTCAAAATTATTACGAGCAAGACATGTTTCTTGCTTTACTTTTGGTGTACCATAGTACACAACCAATGACAAATTTGTATCGCCACACAACATTATTATTTTGGTCATGAACACAATCTTTATAGGCAAGAGTTTTTATTTATTTTGCCCTTTTGGTAGTTCACAATAAATAGACCATCATATTTATATCGTATAAACATACATGATCACTGACCATTTTTGTCAAATAAAATTTATTTATTTCTCTAAAACCTTCCGTAGAGATGAGTTGTGGCATATATCATTTTTTAACCCCCATAGAGGTGAGTTGTGACATATATCCAACCCATAATGATTTTATCACATCTTGACCCACTCTCTTATAGAATGGTCGAGCATTCACGATGGACTAATCATTTATATGTACTTCATAAATTTGCATTATATCACATTAACATGACTTTAAAATTCATCATATTTCCATAACACACCTCAACATCACTTGAAAGATCAAGTGTACCATCACTTTATCTTCTTGTCTGACGATGGATGATTTATAAACTTGTCAAATTATTGGGTCGACAACATTCACAAGTCCAATGACCTTTCATATCGTTTTAATAATAAAAATTGCCTTCACATTTTTTAGGACTATTTGGAGAACCCATAGTGTTCTTCCTTTAATAATTACCACAATGATGACTATTATAATTCCGTCCCTCCACGCCCTTATTCATATTATTAATTATTTGTCATCTTTCAGACTAATTATTCACTGCTATCACATTCATTTGATTGAATGGAGCAAGTCAAGGCGGATTTCAAAGTTATCACATGTTGATACCACATTCATTTCAAGGAATAGAACAAATCCAATATGATGAATTTCAAGACTTTTCATCAAAAGTATACTATTTTTCCTCAATTATCATCTTATCACCACATGGTGCATTGAGACTCAAACTCAATGTCTTATCCATACAAGACATATTAGGTCATAATTCTATGGGACTTGAACCCAATACATTATCATCACGGTACATCAAAACTTAAATTGATGTCTTACCCTTTTGGTGCGATAGAATTTGAATCAATCGTCTTATCATCCAATATTTTTCATTATTTGCATCTGGACTTAACCTGATGTCTTACCCTTTTGGTGCGAAAACTTGAATCCATCTTCTTACCCTTAACCAACGATATAACAAATCGAAGTACAACATGACTTAGCCTTTGAGTTTTTCAAAACAATCAAAATAATATTCAAACTCACGCTATTAAAACTTTATACCTTTTTCCATATAAGACATTTTGTATAGTATGTCATATTCAACCAATAATAGTATATGTCTTTGGTTCCTGATAATTGTTAGTGACTGAATACTATTTTATTCTAAATCATATAAATATTTTAGAAAATACATACCTGATTTTATGCAAATAATACCCCGATTCTCATAACGAGATCAACCAAAACAAGAGCTAAAGAAAAAACTAAAAATTCAATTTCAATTGGCTAGAGACTCGTGCTGATAACGTGTTATAAACTCAAGCTCATAAAATAATCTAGAGAAGAAGTCAAGAGAAGTAGATCAAAAAAGAGAAATTTTTTTCTTATTCAAGTGTGTTCTAAAAAAGGTGAATAATATCTCTATTTATGGAGTTGAGATATTACCCCAAAGGTCAGCATAATAAATCGCCAATTAGTAAATACATAGTTATCCAAATGATTTTTATCACCTTAGAAACATATATAGATGAATACAATTAAGTCTTGAGTATATCTAGAGAACAATTCGCACAATGCAATGGATTTATAACAACTATTAATTTATTACTATATTAGTGTTATTATTAATTTATTACTATACATGAATGAATAATATTATGCCTGGGAGTTTCTTTTCTTATTTATACACTCAAAATCAAGGTATTTTGTGATTTTTAATCGAAATTTTGGAATTTCATTTTTTTTAATCAAAGCCATAAATTGTGATTAGCGATTGTGGATTAAGGAATTTTGGGGGCTCAGGGTCAGGGTCAAGGTCAGGCTCAGGGAGGTGCCGAAGGTGGCGGAGCGGCTGCCGGAGCTCTGAGTACCGATGATTGGAGGACTCAACTTTTTTCCGACTCGCGTCAAAGGATTGTCAACAAGATGTAAGCTTTTTTTATTTTTGTTTTTGCAACTTGTTCTTATTTTTTCATTTGTTAAAGGATTTGGAATTTTGAATTGTAGATTTCTTTTTGTGTTTTATCAGTTATGAAGAAACCCCATTTTGTTAGAAGTATTGATTAATCAATATGGTACATGTTTTTTCAGTTTCCCTATGTTTTATGGAAACTTTATCAGGTGAATTTTGGTTTTTTTTTTGTGTTAATGGTACTGGGTGAGTTAATTGGGGATTTATGCCCTAGTCATTTCCAATTTTGGTAATTAGGGGTAACATATGCGTACACTCTGACCCCACGCGTGGGATTACACTAGGTATGTTATTAGTGTTGGGGGTGGTGTGGTGGTGGAATCAGTAAATGAACAAGTTCAAGTGGGAAAACGTAGTTTGTCACCGTGCTTATATTTTGTTTTAGATAGGTCGAAATGGTAGGTTGTTGTTTGCAATAATTGGCTTATAACTACATATATTTGGTTAGACGAGATAAGTTTTAGTCTTTTATAGCAGGATACGATGTCAAATTATTTTTAGTATATTTGAGAAGCATTTATCTAGATTGTGATCTTGTCACTGGAGCTAATTGGATTATAACAGCTGATATTTGTTTAGAGGAAACAAGTTTTAGTCTTTTGTAGCAGGGCCTGATGTTGTATTATTTTTAATATATTTGAGAAGTATTTATCTAAATTATGATTTTATCAAGATTTTATGTTGATCTTTCTGTTGATATGATTGTACATACTGGAGACCTTGAAGCAACATCTTCCTATTTCTGGGCAAGAAGAAGTACACGAGCTTAAGAAAATTGCTATGAGCTTTGAAGAAAAGGTCTATTCTGCTGCTACAAGTGAGAAATGTAGTCTTAACTTTGTTTCTTATTTGTTCAAATTGTAAAGCTAGCTCATAAACTACCCCTGCCTTTTTTTATCTGACTATGACTTTTGATGCAATTTGTTCTTCAAGACCATATAAGGTAACACTCATCCCTTTTTTACCCGTTGTGTTTCAATTTGTTCTCTGAGACCATATAAACCCATCCCCTTTGATCTGATTTGGGACTCTTGATGCAATTTGTTCACCAAAACCATATAAGGAAACCACCCATTTATACGATATGAGATTCTTCTGCATGAATGATGCAACTTGTTCTCCTCTTCATTTATGTTATTCCTGCTTCTATAAACTTGCATTCGTCTTTCCATTCATATAGACACGTTGTATTAGGAATGGCAAGCGGAACGGGTACAGTACGGTTGCAGGGAAAATCAGCATACACTTGCGAAGATTTTGATCCCCCATTCGTCTTATTATGTTTTTATAGAAGTTTGCCCTTCTAAATGAACACATGAATGACTATTTTAGCATTTTTACTTAGGCATTAATGACATCAAAAATAACAACTGAATATTCTTATATTTGCTCTCATCAAGGTTGTTATAACAACGAAATAGAAGAGCCTAATACTATATATCAGTTCATCTTGAGCATGAGATCTGTAAATTTTATTTAATTGACAGTTTGTTTACGTAAAATTACCTATTAAAGTGATGTCAAGAACAAAAAAATTATGGTTAATTCTGCATATTGACATGTTTTTTTAACACGTAAATATGTATCATATTAATTATTATTCCCCAAGAGTGCTCACTATATAGTTGTCAACACAAATGGATAGAATCAAGTTATATAGAGTTAAACTACATAATTTCATATTTGACTGACCAACATAGAATCATAAAATCTACTTTAAGACTAGTTTCTAAACTAACAACCACAACTAAATAATTTGAATCTAATTTGAATGTCTTTGCACGCCTAAGATACCTTCACGAAGTAGTTTTAAGGTCTACGTATTCTCTATCCTCCCAGATCTGGTTGCATACCTGAGGAAGTTTAGTAGTAAGAACTTAATTTCTTTTTTTCCCCTGTTCCAACCGCTGCTTGGAGATGCCTTACTTCAGCCGAGGTCCGATGTCTATCGAAAATAATCTCTCTATATTTATGGATAGTGATAATGTCTGTGTATACTAGAGACTACTTGTGGGGTTATACTAAATATACTGTTGTTTAAAACCCCAACATAATTTTGCAACCCGCCCCACACTGCGTTCAGTTTCTTAAAAAATATTTGAACCCGCGCTGCATAGCCTACCCTCGATTTGCCAAACCCTATGTTGTATGTATTTTAACTTATATTTATCTAATATTGCAGTGAGATTATCTTCGAAAGATATCTTTAGAGATGGTGACCATGAAGACAAAATCTCAAAATCCTATGACCAATTCTATTAAGCCAAATCTTATAAGTAATGGTCAGAATGCCCTTGGTCCAGGTGAGTTTACAGAATTTCGGTGTGGACTTAAAATGAATGGGAATAATTGGAAGGCTCAAGTTCAAAGAGATGGTGAATGTGGCAGTGGTTGCCGGAGCTCTGAATTTCGATGATTGGAAGACTCAACTTTTTCCCGATTTGCGTCAAAAGATTGTCATGTGGGAATGTGAAACACGATTCAATAAAGTCGTGTTGGCTCATGGCACCTGATCCAAATATATTATATTGGCTCGTGGCACCCGATCAAACAATATAGTTAAATCATTAACAATACTTTATCAAACCTTGTTTATTCAATGCATCACTTTGATAGGATAATTTTAAATTATGGATTTCGCGATCTTGGAATTACAGACCAATCACGACAACACATGATACATTCAAACTACAATAATTAAGTACATAGGAAATTTCATAGTATTATCAATGACTATAAATCACTATTAAGAGTATTCTTATCACAATGAATAATCCATAATCACCTCAACCGAAGAATCGAAGTCCAGCAAGCTAATTCCCCGACACTTTTCTTTTTCTCAATCCCTAGGAACATTCTAAATTAATCAAATATGAATAATTCATAAGTACACGAGTCCATATATATCCATATTGCTATACTTCTAGCCTAGGTCTAAAAATGGAAAAATCGCCCTACATATATATATATATATATATATTTAAGGGCAATATTATAAGTTTTAAATCTACTCTTAAAATATTATTACTTATAACATTTTGATTGCAGGTTATTACGTACCACTTTTTATTTTTAAATCAATTTAATTCCATTTAATTAAATAATTAAAATTTAATAATTATTATTATATCAGGTGACATCTCTTACCCGATTTTAGAGATTTTACCTTGGTTCATGTTCCCTTTTTACCGTCACACGTCAAATAAATCACGGGCTAGACAAATAAAGAGAACAATTCAATTTTCATACCAAAATATAACATTATACATTTAAAAAAGTTCCATATTCAAATTATAATGCATAACAAAAATGTGAAATGAGTATACTAATTTCATATAATTTATATGCATACTTTTCATACACATTTCATGTTAAATTATAACAATTTCATCCCATAAGTCGTCATTTTTCACAGAAGAATCATGCCAATACTAATTAAACATATAAATTGTCATTTATTAGATAATGAATACACAAAATTCATTTCAATATAATGTCAAAATCGTACCAACATGGTATAACCAGTATATAAATTTCAAATAAATTTATGTAACCTTTTAAACCAGAAACGTACAAAAAAAAGAATGTTCATACCAAATCTATACTATTTTAAAACAAATTTTATGTAATTTCAAAAAATAAATGTTCATTCCAATAACGCTATGATTAAATATTATATACAGTAAAATCTGAATTTTTTTTCCAGTATCATTGTTCTTATTTTATTTACGTTTGGTTAGTATACAAATACAAATAAAAATCGTAAGGAACTACCACCATGTTTTATTAATACCAACAAGAAGTCGTGCATTACAAGAAAATGAAAATAATTGAATAAAAGCGAGAAGAGAGAGAAACGTTAGAAAAAAAAAAGAAAATAAATTTGTTTTGAACGAATTTAACTACTTTGAGTTAAACATAGAAAACAAGAATTCCTTTTTATTTTATTTTATGAATCTCCTATTTTTATGTCATATATTAATTATCATTAATAAATTAAAATCATTTGCGTACACCCGAGAAATTTTTTCGAACTAAGACTTGAATCATCCTTCATAGTGAGTAAGTTTTTGCTAAGGAATTAAAATTTCTTTAGTATTAAGGTAAGGTCACTAAATGTAGCATCTTAAGTTCCAAGAAGAACCAAAGAGAAAAACATTCAAGTCAACTTCAAACGATGAATAACTCCTAGCACATGATTATTTAGGTGTGCTACAAGAGACTTTAGGAAAGTTCTTTATATTATCTTTCCAATGCCACCGAGTTTGCTAAGTTCCGAGTTCGGATGAGTGAGATATGACATTTTAAAGTTTGGCTGTCCAATTAAGGAAAGTTAGCTAGAAATAGTGAGGGATATTTTGGTCTTTTCCTTATCCAAACAGATTTAATTCGATTTTAGTAATATTTTATGGTATAATTCTATTAGGCTCAGTTTTATAATCCTAATATATACCTAGGGTTTTAGATGAGAGTTCAAGAAGAGAAAAGAAGAGAGAATCTCGAGATTCTTGCGTATTGTTGCGGATTTTCGCCATGGGTTTGATCTCTTAGAGGTATGTAAGATTTCATAGTGTTGGTTTATTCAACCACATGCCAAAAATGTTATTTTAAGTGAAATTTCATTCTTTAAGTTTAAAGATTAGAGTTCTTGATAGGTGTTCTTAAAATTCATTCTAAATCTTGTTTTTTTGGGGTTCTGATGATCTCTTGAGATGAAATTGAGTAATTTGAGTGTTGTTTTCATTAGTGTAATTAAGTCAAGTAAACAAATCCAAGTCATTACGGAAGAAACCGTTCGATTCTAGGTGAATTAGGGTGAGAAAACGAGCAAGGAAATTTGTTGGATTTTCTGGGTCGGGGCTTGGCGCGATGCGCCAGCCAAAATGCCCCAAATCCTCCTCTGAGGATTAGGGGCTGGAGCTCCACGCCATTCATAGAGCTAAGATCGCATGTCCCATCCATTTGGTCTTCGGTTGCTCCGTTTGAGTTCACTTAAAGTGCACCTTCACTCCCTTTCAATTCTAACTACTCTAATCTACTTCAAATATACTTAGAGATCAATCATAACATAATCATAACATTGAATTAATAATTCAAAATTCAAGTTAAAGTTAAGATTATGTTTTGTGTGTTCTGCCGAAACTTTTGAGAGAGTCCCTTTGAGGAGCCTTCTACAACTTTTAGTAATTTGTTTCAAGACTCAAGTAAGTGAGAATGGGAGTAACAATAACACATTCATGAGGTCTACAATATCACCTAGATCCTCCATGTCATGAATCAAACTCTTGAATTCATAATTCACATTAAAGAGAGTTAAAGAGTAGAGTTCAAGAAAATCTTTGAGTTCAATTGTGAATCCTTTGAGATCAACTATTGATTTGAACTATGTTTTGAGGAACTAAGTTAGAGAATGAGAAGAGTTGCATATATGAGTTACATGTAGTTATGTAGACCTTCGAGTCAAGTTGCTTCATGCCTATAATTCAGCATGAAATTCGTAAGTTGAACATCTTTCAGAGAAGTGGTTTCTTCAAGTTCTAAGACTTTAAGTGTAGTTCCTAATCCCTCTTTGAGATTCATTACTTATCATGTGACTATTACATATTACTCATGAAGTCCTTGATTTGACTAGTTCATACCCATAGTTCCGCATGAACTCTCTTAGTCGAGCATTATTGAGATGAGTAGTATCATTGACTCCTTGAGTTCGAAAGTTGTTGAGTTCCAAGTATTGAGTTCTATGCATTGTTATTGAAAACCTTGAATTGAGTCGTTCATTTCCCTAATTCAGCATGAACCCTTTTTCAATAAATGTTTCTACAAATAGTTTTAAAACTTGTTTTAAAGACTTGAGCACTGAGTTGAGAAAGTGTAAAGTTGACGTTCTGTTATTCAAAGAAGTATATGGGGATTAAGTATTCCCAAAAACATTTAAAACATATTCAAATTTAAATAAGAATAAAAACTGATATTTCCAAAAAGCCTTCAGGCCTGTTTTAGAAAAAAGAAATCATTTTCTAAATAAAGCATACTTTTTAAATACCCCAGGTGGATGCGCAATTGCCTTAGCTTGTGATCCTTTTTCTTCTTCTGTCCACCTTGCGATTTAGAATTAGAACATTTCTCAATATTTAGTGTCATTGATGGTAGATGTTTTTTTGCAAGAGTCTCTGTCGATTGCAACTCATTCAATAATTGTGCCAAAAGATAGACTCATCTTATTCATATTATAATTTAGGAAAAGTTATTGAAAATTGGAAGGCAGATATTGAAATATCATCTCAACTTAGGAGTCATTGTCAATTTCAGCTCCCAAAGACCTCTAGTTCATTCAGAGGAACTATCATCTTTAGAACATGGTCTCTTACAGGAGTGTCTTCAACAATCTTAGTGTTCACGAGAGTTCTCATGGCAGTCTGCTTAGATAATCGACCCTAGTTTCCAAACATTTCTTTGAGATTCCCCAGAATTTCAAAGGCAAACAACATATCTTGATGTTGATGTTGAAAAACATTTGACATTGAAGTCATAATGTAACATCGCGCCATTTCTGGTAAGCTAACTTCTCCTCATCACTAGACTGTAAATTGTGTTTCAATAGACATTCCTCATGAAGCACAACCTTATATTCTTAAGTACTTAACACGATGTCGAGATTTCTCCTCCCGTCAACATAGTTAGAATACTTCAGTTTGTTTTGACCAAAACTAGTACTAATGGGATTAAAAGTAGAAATGTTGAATCTGAGATCGAAGAAATAATTTCAATAGATGAATAACACAATAATATAACATTTAATATTTACATTCAAACTCTTCATATACATATATATATATATATATATATATATATATATATATATATATATATATATATATATATATATATATATATATATATTGTATGAATACTTCTCCAATCCCAATGATTCGATATTCAAGATGCATGAATATATATATATATATATATTATTCACTCCATAAACTTATATTGACCTAACTCATTTGGAGAGTCTACTGTTAGTTTAAGTACTCAAGTGAAAATCCTCTAGTTACATTGATTTAATCATATATTACTCAGTTTAAGAGAGTTAATACAGATTATCAAACTAGTGATTAAAAACATAATGGCTTGTATTAAATTCATCTGATGGGGAGGAAGGTGTAAGCCAATACATAAAATTAATACCTCAATATTATTTAATCTCTTGGTAATTAATGAAAAGAACCCTATTCACCATTTATTTTTTTTTCAAATTTTAAGAAAAATTTCTAGAAAAAAAAATTACAACAAGAAGTTGTAGCTCAAAAATCTCACACACATAAACAATTACAAGCATTTAAGTACGATAGTTTACTGTCTAAAATTTGTGTCCACATAAGAACAGTTATGAATAATGCAGTAAACGAAATTGTAGATCTTTTATTATAATGTATCATCATGCATTCCTACCAAAAAGAATCATGTATTGGCCAACAACTTTAACTCTTCTCTCTTCTTAATCAAAAGGAGAACAACCATCAGTATCATTATGAGAAAATATTCCAGCCAACACAATATGTGATTAAAAAATTGTGGGAGTCATCTCATAAAACAGTCGCCTATCTCTTTCGCAAAAAGAATTGAACCCAATATCAGTTTGT